ATGCCTGGTAGAGATTTTTGAGGTATACATACTAATTATTATTCAAAGACACTGGTTGAAGATAATAAATTTCCTCGATTATTTCCATTCAGTAGTCATGACACAAACTGTCCTCCCCATCATTTAACAACAAAAGAATCATAACTTTAACCCATGTCAGATGTCAAAAGGATTAAAAATTATTTAATGACATAATGAAAAATTATGAAAAATTCAACTCAGCAAACATTTTAGTTCCAGATTTGTAGGCACCGCACTACATGCATACGTCTTGCTAAGATTCACCATTTAGTTAAGGGAAACCAATAATTATTATAATAGGAAAACTGAGCTTATTGCTGTAGTAGAGGCCACAAAGTCTTCAGTAATGAGAAGGGAGCAAGTAGCTCATTCTCATAGGATTATCAGGAAACGCTTCCTAGGGGAGAAAGCTTAGGAACTAAAAAATACATAAGATCTCATCAGATACAGAGGGAACAGTTCATTCCAAGTAAAGGAATGATTTGAGCGAGTGTATAGAGGAATAAAAGATCATAGTAGGTTTGGAAGATAATTAGTGTTTGGTATGGAGTAGCTAGGCCCTCTGATGTGTGTTATGAAATATAGGATATCAGGTTGAAAACAGAAGTTAAAATTGTATCATTAAAAAATAGTCTTGAATACTACCCTGGGTAGTTCTTACTTGATTCTGAGGTATACAGAAAACCACTAAAATTTTCCAAGCACAGGGCTGGCAAGATCAGTTCTATCTGTTACAGATCAAAAGAAAGGGTGACCTAATAAAGGCAGAAAGACCAGGAAGAAGACTAACGCCATGGTTCAGGCTCAGGTTCACGGTTCAGGGAATAAATCTGGAAGACCTTGCTGAGGCTGCTGAGTCATAAATGTGCTTTGCCAAATGTACTGGGGGAAAAAAATGGAGAATTAAAAATTGTCTCTGATATTTTTCTTTAAGGTGACAATGGAGAGTGATACCATTAATAGAGATAGGGAACACAGAAAAATACCTGGCTGTCGCACCTTGGAGGGGTGGATGTTGATGAAAGGAAAAAACCTGCTTTGGATTTGCAGAGTTCAAGTTACTCAAGGAACATCTCCCATGCAGGTGCCCAGCATGCAGCCAACCATTATGATGGTCTGGGTGGTTGTTTTGCACATGTTTACTCGTCTTGCTCTCCATATGTTGGAAGAATGTACTTGTATATCAGTTCACAGTTGGATAATGATGCTGGTGAATCTGTGATAAGCTAGTCTCAAACCTGTGGTGACCCTTGAAATACATGTGGTCAGTGGAGCTGGTGCGTGAGCCGTGGATATCACCGTAAGAACAGGTTGTCACTACCTCACTGATGCAAGGAGAAGAGAAACATAGAGCAGAGGGCTGCGGCTGTAGCTCAGTGGTAGAGCACTTGCCTAGCATGTGCAAGGTCCTGGGTTTGGGCCCCAGTACTAGAGATAAAAAAAAAAGACATGCAAAGTAGAGTCTATCCAGTCCACTTGTAAACTGCAGCTTGAAGAGGTGTTGCCCCAGTTAGAGCTATCAGCATGAGAATAGATAGTTATTATTGTATATATATGTACATATCATTAAGTTTGGGGTAATTTGTTAAAGAAACTAGGTGAATGGTACTATTATATATTAGAGCATAAAAATAGCTTGAGATGATACTTCCATCAGCTGAATTTTTTGTTTGTTTGTTTGTTTGTTTTTGAGACGGGGTGTTGGTACATAGTTCAGGCTGCCCCTGAACTCACGATATAGTCCAGGCTAGCCTTGAACTTGTAGCAATCCTCTTGCCTCAGCCTCCAAGTGCTGGGATTACAGGCATGCACCACCACACCTGGCTCCATCAGCTGACTGCAAAAATAAATTTGGTAGCGTCAGGCATGGTGTGGTGCACTCCTGTAATCCAGCACTCAGGCAGGAGGATCACTGAGAGTTCGAGGCCAACCTGGGCTACAAAGTGAGTTTAAGGCCAGACTGAACAGCACAGTGAAACCTTGTCTCAAAAAGACAAAAGTCAATCAATAAATAAATGTGGTAGTCTAAAGAAATAAGTACTCCCTTAACACTCTCAGGTACTTCTCTCTTTTTTTTTCCTGATTCAGGGAATCTAACTTACAACCTTGTGCTTGCCAGGCAGGTGCTGTGCTGCTGAGCTAAATCCCCAGCCCCCTCAGGTACTTCTCTTAAAGACTGCCTATGATGCATCAAAGTATTTCATGACTAAGACTGTAAAGATGTAAATTAGCCATTTTTATCATAATTTAGCCAACTTTGGGGGGAAGGAGAGAACAACTAATAGTCTTGAGCATTATTATGTGCTATGCATTGTGTTAGGTAATAGAGGAAGATAGGACATTTAAAAAATCAACTATGTATTATGTATCAGGCACTATGTAGAACCTTTGCAAAGATGATAACATACATTTATTTATTTATTTTAGTTTTTGTGAGACAGGGTCTCACCACATAGTTCAGGCTGGCCTTGAACTCACTATGTAGCCCATGCTGGTCTCAAACTTGAGGCAACCCTCCTGCCTCAGTCTCCTTAGTGCTGGGATTACAGGTGAGTGCCAACACACTTGGCTTTTGAAGATGATAATATTTAATACCAAAGTGACCCTATAAAGTAAATTATTTTTTAGGCTTCAACAGCAAGATACTGATTCAGTAAGTATGGGGAGGGAAGAAGATAAAGGATCTACTTCCATCATTATGGCCTGAGGAGGAACTCCACTGACCCATTCTAACTGAAAATTATTAAAGCCAACAAAACAACGAAGAAAAAACAAAACCAAAAACCTCCCCAAAACAAGAACAAACTTCAACAATTCAAAACCTCTCTCTGGAAATGATCAAAGAGCAAAGAGCAAATGAAGAAACATCTATTCAAGAAAATCTAAAGCCAGGTGCAATGGTGCATCCTTGTAATCACAGTTGCTTGGGAGCATGAGGCAATTAGGATCCAAGTTTAAGGCCAGGCTGGGCAACTTAGTGAGACCCTATTTTTGACAAAACAAAACAAAACAAACCCAAAACAAAACAAAACAAACCCAAAACAAAACAAAACAAACTCAACTCAACCCAATTTAACCCCCAAAAATCGAAATGAAAGAATAAAAAGAACATGAAAAAAGATTTTTTAAAGTGTTGGGGGATCGAACTTGGTGGTAGGCTGCTTGCCTTAGAATGCAATGAGGTCTGGATTCAATCCCCAGTATTGGGAAAAAGTGAAAGAGAGAGAGAGAGAGAGAGAGAGAGAGAGAGAGAGAGAGAGAGAGAATCTTTGCTGCAATGGACTGAATGTGTGTCCCTACAAAATGATACACTGACACATGAGTGTGATGGTATTCAGAGGCAGGGCCAATGGACGGTCAGTAAGTCATGGTGGTGGGTCCCTCCTCAAGGGGCTTCAGGCCTTTATAAGAAAAAGCCAGAGAGCTGGTTAACTCATTTCTGTTGGCTGAGAATCCAGAGAAGTTGGCTGTCTGCAACCTGGATGCAAGCTCTCACCAGATTCCAACCATGCTAGGTTCCTGATTTCACATTTCTAGGCTCCAAACTATGAGACATAAATTGATGGAGACCACTACAAAGCAGCTGTAAGCAGGCTTAAATTAACCAATTGGCTTTCCATGTTTACTTGTGAGTCTGTCCAAGGCCTAGGCTCCTTGTCTGGAGATGGGCAGTGGACTCATAGTAAGTGAACTTCTGTGAGTCACTAATCTTTACTAAGGCCTGTAATGATGGGTAAGCAGTGAAGCCTCAAAGGATAAGACAAGGTTACAGCCAAGGACACCTGGATCCAACCTCAACTAGATAAAGAATGTACCCTCAGGCATCTCACTCCTGGGTGGGTTAATTTAATACCTTACTTAGAGAAGTCCTTGAGTGGTTCCTGCCCTTCTTGAGTACTCCCCTCCCTTCTCATAACTAAATAAATATGGGCTACCCAGAGCAAGTCTTGGTCTTAGCCCTGAGAGAATCTCAATCTCCTCCTCTATTCTGATAACTATATAAATACAGGCCACCCAGAGAAGGTCTTGGTCTTTGCCCCAAGAATCTCGAATTCTGTGAGAGGTTTTTGATCCTCCTGGAGTCCTGAAATCATTCCACTTGCCTCTTTTATTTAGCCTTTGCTGTATACTTGTTTGGGAGATTGCAGACCTGATCAGCCTGCAATAACTAAGGGATATTATTAACTCAATAATAAATGTTTATTGTTTAGGGTTTCAGGTATAGTAAGCTGAAGTGATTGAAGCATTTGGTAAGAAAGTGAGACTGTGGCATTCAAGTCAAGATTGCTTCCTGCCTCATCCTTCTCAGTTAAATGAGGCAGAAAATTCCACTCCACACTGTTGTAGTGAAGTACATGGGGCTCTCTCTCCCTTTTGCTTTAACTGGAAGGCCTGCTTCCTAGGAGCAGCAGGACTTCAGTGTTTTCCATCCTACCGCCAACTTTCTGTTGCTGGGGCTAAGTCTCTGGTGAGTGAGGAAGAGGGGTAGGGACTCCCTCTTTTAAAAACCCTACTTCCACTCAGGGGAAGGAGGCTCTATTTTTGACATGGCACATGAAAATACTGGAGGAATACAAATCAAAACCACAAAATGATTAACAGTCACACCCAATGAGATGCCTAACTAAAACAGGAAAGAAATTAGCTTTGGTAAAGAGGGATGTGAAATAACTCAAGCCTCATACTTTACCAGTAGAAATGTAAATACAGCTACTTTGGAAGACAGTTTGACAGTTCCTCAAAAGAGTAAACAGTTATCAATATGAAAATTCCACTGAATTATATAGTTTAAAAGGGTGAGTATAATGGTAATGAATTATATCTGAGAAGAATGGAGGGAGGGAGGGTGGAAGAGAGAAGGGGGAGAGAGAGTGAAAGAGACAGACAGGGAATTCTCACTTGGTTGTTACTGTCAGGAGGCTGAAAGTCACCTGGCCAGCCCCATGAAGTCTCAACCAAACCAGCCCCTAACATCTTACCTCAGTTCCAGTTTCTCTCCAATCCCAAGTTCGACTCCCTCCTGGCCATACTTTGCAATCCTTATAGGTTACAGTACACCCTTGTACTTTCATTTGCCCCCATGAGAGAAATGCAATTTCCGGGGAAGACATAAGCACCGAACTGAAATATGAAAATAAAAGAAAAATATGTTAAATCAGTTGAAACAGCTCCAAAATATAGATAGTAAACCCCAATTCTCCATGACTTAAGAAGTATCTTTCTTGTACCTGAAGGTGTAGCTCAGCAGCAGCAAGGGCCCACTGTGCACAAGGCCCTGGGTTTATCCCTAGCACTGCAAAAATAAAAAAATTTTAAAAATGTAAAAAGGAAACATTTTTCTCTGCTATGTAGCTGTCACTTACTGTCTACAAGTGTAAAAAGGCCCTATTATCCTTGGGATCCTGGATCACTCATGCGTGGAAACCAGTTACTACAATTACTTCTCAGACTCCAGAGGTAATCCTTAGGATATTTTCTGGAGATAAAAGGTGGAAATTCATTTCAGCATGATAGACTGAGGAGGCTGACAAATCTCTCTCAAAAAAGAAACTATAGAGCTGAAAAAAAAAAAAAACCTGTCAGAAAAACCATTTGTCACTCTAGAAATAAAATTAAAGGCAACCCATAAACTGAGAAGTACTTATTCACAGAAACCACTGAATTTCAGATAAGAACAGCGTTTTTTTCCCCTGTTCTTGCCGGGCACTGCTCCCATTCCTTATCCTAGTTCTGCTGGTACCAAAGTTCATGTAGGTTGGGGCATGGAGATGAACAACCTTTCTACTAGTGCCAAAGGCAGCACACTTGCTTTAGAGCATGATCAGTGAAAATGCTCTCAGTGGCAAGAAAAGATTGGCAACAGAGGCAGAGACTTAAGAAACTCTCAGAGGTGACCTGGTGGTAGAGGGCTTTATAGTCTCCACACATCCCAAGTGGACTAGAAGCTGTGAGCTTATGCATCAAAGACCTAACAGCCTAATTCACTCAGACATTCCAGGCAATGGAGCCTGAGCACATACACAGGGAACAAACAAGGCTCAAAGGATACCAGTAGGAAGTAAAAACCACTGAAAATGGATAAGAATTTTGAGTTCACTCTTCAGTATATACACTGATCCATCAGTAAAGCATGAAAGTCTTAAGTAGCTCAAAGTATCTGAGTAAAATCTTGAATGGCTTTTTGGCTGACTAGTAAGTTTTTCAGACCAAGAGGAGATCCCCGGAAACCAGGCTTAAAAATAAAAGTAAAAGGGGCAAAAAAGTAAATAGAAATTTCAGTAGCCATATACTGCATGGGAGATGGAAATCACAGCTTTTTTTCTTTTTTGTGTGTTGAGGGGTTATACTAGAGATTGAACCCAGGGCTTCATGCTTTGTGGGGCAGTGCTCTGCCTGTGAGCTATATCCCCACTCCTTTATTATTTTATTTTGAGGCAAAGTCTTACTATGTTAACTAGGCTGGCCCCAAACTTGTGATTCTCCTGCCTCAGTCTCCTAAGTGTTGGGATTACAGGCGTGTGACACCACGTCCAGCTTCAAATTCTCTTCTTATAAAGAACCAACTCTACCAAATTAAGGCCCCACCCTCAAGAACTCATTCAACCTAATTCCCTGCTAAAAGTGCAATTCCCAAATATATTAACTTTGGAAGGTCATGTGAAATTTAAAGAGATGCAATTCATAGCAACCATCCTATGGCAGTCTTGATTTTTGTTGTTTTATTGTAACTTTTGAAACCAGGAAGTGAGTTTTCAGTTTTCTAATCTAAAGTTAAAAAAAATATTTTGGGTTCTTTGCAGTTCCATATAAAGTCAGATCAACTCATCAATCTCTGCAAAGAAGCCAGCTACAATTCAATGGACACTGCATTGAATCTAACTGAATCTAATTCAATTCAAAGAGCACTGCCATCTTTTTTTTTTTTTTTTTTTTTTCTTGGTAACAGGAATCAAACTCTGGACCTTGTGCTTCCCAGGCAGGTGCTTGTGCCACTGAACTATATATCCAGCCCCAAAGAGCACTGCCATCTTACCAGTACTAAGTCTTCTGTTTGGGAACGTAGCTCAGTGTTAGAGTACTTGCTTCGTACATGCAAGGCCTGGGTTTGGTTCCCAGCACCGAAGAAAATTTAAGTCTTCCAATCTATGACTATGGGTTTTCTTCCTACCTGTCTTAATTTCCTTTAAAATGCTTTATTATTTTCAGTGTCCTAATTCTTTAAAAATTTTACTTTTCTAAATAGCTATCTGTGGTGGCCCATTCTGGGAGGCTAAGACAGGAGCATTCTAAGTTCCAGCTAAGCCTGAGCAGTTTAAGGAGAACTTGTCTCAAAGCAAATAAACAAACAAACAAAAAAACAGGTTGGGAATGCACCTCAGTGTGACTGCCCTGGGTTCAATTCCTATTACTGCAAAACCAACCAACCCAAAACCACACACACTAAATAACTATTCTTGATGTTATTGTAAATGGAATTCCTCCCTGCTTTTCCTTAGGCCACTGCTTCACTATGTTGCCCAAGCTGGTCTCAGACTCCTAGGATCTAATGATCCTCTTATCTCAGCCTCCTTCCTGAGTAGCTGAAACCACAGGTCCATGTCACTGGGTGAATTAGCTTCTTACTTTCAATTATGGACTGTTCGCTGCTAATGCATAGAATTTGATTTCTGACTTTTTATCTTGAATCCGGCAAACCTGAACTTATTAATTCTAGCAAATCGTATTTAAAAATGTTTTTGTATTCTTTAGGATTTCCTACATATAAGATCATGTCATTTAGGACAGAGTTTGTTTTAATTATATTGATTATTGAACGTTAAGCAAACATTACGTGCCTGGGAGAAATCCCACTTGATCATGGTGTACTTGTAAGTTATTTTTTTTTAAAACAAGTTATTCTTAATATTTGTGAATACACATTAAGCCAAGGTAACGTACATGCATAATCTCAGCTCTCAGGAGGCTGAGGCAGGATGACTGGGTGAGTTTGAGGCCAGCCTGGGGTATACAGTGAGTTCAAGGCCAGCCTGAAATGTATAGCAAGACCCTGTCTGAAAAAACGAGGAGGAGGAGGAGAAGGAGGCCATACATTTATATCTTGTGTTCTATTTTTACTTTTTCATTTTTAGTGCAGTCCTGATCTAGATATATCAGATTAATTTCAAAACACTAATGAGTCCTAACTTTCAATTTGGTCACTATTGCTATAGGTTGGGCTATATTCAAAATATTTAATAATGAGGACAGTGTGAACACCGAATACAAGAAAATGGAAGTGGAGTGCTGGAATAGAGTCTGCTGTATTTACATCAAAATTCAGTTGCTGGGACTGGTTGGAGGGAGACCGAGTAGCCAGTGTGACACATACATAGGAGGATCAGGGCAAGGGCTATTCTAAAACTGGCATTTCTTTTTCTTTCTGTACTGGAGATTGAACCCAGGGTCTCTGTAGTGAATGAACTACAGCCTCAGCCCTTTTAAAATTTTTATTTTGAGACAAAATTTCATTAAGCTTGAATTTGTGGATCTTCCAGCTTCAGACTCCCAGAGTGCTGGGATTACAGGCATGTGCCACCAGGCCTGGCTCATAAATTGGGATTAGACTTTTATACTGTTAGCCCAGAAAGGCAATAGACAGTAGGTAGTATTATGGAATGTGTGTTTTTAATCTTCTTTTCAAGAACAGTCTTTGGAAAAGCATGGCCTACAATTTGTAGTAAAATACTTCTTATCTTTTGACTGGGTATAATTTTCTAAGTCTAGAGGACTTTGTTCCCATGCCAGTCTGGATTAGACAAGGCAAAAACTCTAACCTTATTTATCAGTCTCTGTTTGCATAATGGTGTGAGAGTACAGAGGAAAGTACAGTAACGAAGCTTTAAAGCTTTTACTTCTTCTCTTTTAGTGGTACTGGGACTGAACCCATGGCCTTATCCATGCCAGGCAAATGGTCCATCACTGAGCTACATCCCCTCCCCTATTTCCTTTCTGGAATATTATTTTACAGCCTCATGGGAGAGTGGGAGGTGCAGTACCAAAGAGGTGAAAGACAGAAATCTGGGTAAGGTTTATATAATAATATATATTGAAATCTTCCTTTTGATTTTTTTTTTTTTTGGTCTTTTTGAGAGAGGGTCTCGCTATGCAGTTCAGGCTGGCCTTAAGCTGATTTTGTAGCCCAGGCTTGAATTTACGATGATCCTCCTGCCTCAGCCTCCTGAGTGCTGGAATTATAGATTTCCTTTTGATTTCAAGTAGCAATCTTTCTAGCAATTCCTTAGCAGAAATATGATTTTGAATACTGGGTACCTGGCTTTTAAAGTCAATTAAGTCATGAGTATATGAAATTTTTTTTTAGATCTTTCCACAGAATTGTCGTTAAAGATGCATTCTGAGCTATGCATGGTGGCACATGTCTATAATCTCAGCACTCTGGGAGGCTGAGGTAGGAAGACTATAAGTTCAAACCCAGCCTGAGCAACTTAAGAAGACCCTGTCTCAAATTAGAAAATAAAAAAAGTACTGGGGATATAGCTCAGTGTGAAGATCCTGGTTTCATTCCCAGTACCCTCCACCTCACATATATAATAAACACACACACACACACACACTCACACACACACACTCACACACACACATCACAAACCTTATTTAAATCATTTTAAGTACTGTACATACTTCAGTAGCGTTAAATATATCCACACTGTTGTTCTGACTTCAATTTCTTACAATTTCTCTTAAACTGGAATGTTCAGAAGTATTTGGTAAGTTTCAAAATAATTTTTGTTCCTTTAACCAGGGTTTATTACCCAGATTCAGATTACTATTCTAGGTAATAAATTTCTCTTACACAATTTTTTTCTCTTTGGATAAATGAGTATTTTTTCAATCTTTAGATAATAATATAGACCACTACATTTTTCTCTTTTCATTTTTTTGACCTGGGAACATACAGTAAAATTCAGTATAAAACTATGTAACTATTTTCCATGTTCCTGATATAATTATTTGCCGATATATTTATCCTCCTTCAGTGATAGATTTTCCTATTTTATGTGCATTGGGTTATACTTTGCTTTAAATTATTTCTAGGAAGTACTAGGCAAGTTTTGGCTCAAAGTAGTAAACTGTAGCTAAACTCAGTTTAAATTATAGGAACAAGTTTATTTACTAGCAACAATGAGTATTTTTAAGAGTTTACAATGTGCCAAGGCACTGTGCTAAACACTTTACTGTGAATTACTTATCGAAGCTCTACGACTTAGGAACTGTTAATGCAGCACTCTCGGAGAAATGAAGTGTCAGAGTGTCACAAAGTAGTTTTGCGAGGTCTCAAACCCGGCCGAACTGCTTCCTAAGCGGCACGTTCTATTTGCTCTGCTGGCATTTTTCTTTCCCAGTGGGATTCTTTGTGGGAGAACGTCCACGGCTCCCCCTACGGAACGGAATTCTGTCTTCAACTTTTTGCTGTCTCTTCGCAAGTTCGCGCTTAGTGGAAACCTTGGCCCGCGGGCCCCACGGAGCCGAGCCCCGAGCCCCGGTGCCAGGGCGCGGCGCCTCGCCCTCAACCCTGCGAGCGGAGCGCCCGCAGCGCCGGTCCCCGCAGCCCCGGCCCGCCCGGCAGGGCCCAACGCCTCGCTCCGGGATCCCCGCAGCCTCCGCTCTTCCAGCCCAGCTGAGATCCCCGTACCCCACGAGCGAGGGAGCGCCGCGGCGAACTTTGGCGGAGACTTCTGACAACCGTCCTGCGCCAGCGTAAGTCACCGCAGCGCTCCGCCGCCCGCACGCGCGCTGCTCCTAATTCTGCTCTTCTTTCTGTCTCAACGTCCCCCTCTGTCCTGCGGCCGGTCCAGTTCCTAGGTTAACTCCTTCACCCCCCTCAAAACTCACGCCGCACTTTTCCTCTCAGCGGTGCTCTCGGGACGGCTGCGCACTGCCCCGCTCACTCCGAGCACCCGGAGCCTCTCACCCAGGCGCCCTCCCACTCCGCGAAGGGAACCAGTGTCCGGCAGCTCGCCACGGAGGCACCGCCTCCTCAAGCCTATTGGCTGTCGTTTTCAGAAGTCCCGCCCCCGACTTGCAGCCCGCCTCCCCGCCCCGCTTCCCTTGTTTTCGTTCCCGCTGTCACACGAGGCAGTGGCAAACCGAAGTGGGAGGGGAGCGGAGGAGGAAAGGGGGCGGAAAGAGGACGGAAAGTGAAAGGCACAGAGTGCCTCTCTGTCCCCCGTCTGGCTCAGTTCTCGACTGCTCCGGGCCGCGGTGGTATTGTGGGATCGCGGCGCCGACTTACAGACGCTGCGATCCGCAGGCGAGCCCACTCGCGAGCGCCTCCTGTCGCCCGCAAGGCTCCCCTGCCATCCTCGGCACCCCAACTCCTCCCCCGCTCGCCTCCTCCTCCTCCATCCTCCAGTTCAAAATGGCGACGGCGGCGGCAGCGGCGGCGGCGATGGCTCCTCCGGGCTGCCCGGGTTCGTGCCCCAACTTCGCCGTAGTCTGCTCCTTCTTGGAGCGCTACGGGCCGCTGCTAGACCTCCCCGAGTTGCCGTTCCCTGAGCTGGAGCGGGTGCTGCAGGCGCCGCCGCCGGACGTCGGCCACGGAGAAGGTAAGCGAGGGGCCCGAACGCCCGGCGGGAAGCCGCCCTGGCGCGCTCTTCTCGGCGCTCTAGGCGACGTGCTGGGCCTCGGCGGCTGCGTCCTCCCCCGGGGCGCCGCTCTGCCGGGCCGCCCTTCTGCGCGGAGCCCCCGGGGCCCGGGGCAGCGGGGAGGCGGGGCGGAGGCCCCCCGGAGCCACGGTGCCCGCGGGGAGCGGAGGTGGGAGCGTCGCGGGTAGGTGTGGGCTGGGGGCGGGAGGGGTCATTGTGCTGGCCGGCGGCCCGTAGGATGTCTCGGCTCGCCAGGGCCGGTCCCCCACCCCTTCTCCCTCTAGGTGGCGGGGGAAGGGGAGCGCAGGTTCCGGCCAGCTTTGCGCTTTTTCCTCCTCCCCTCCTCCCATCAAGCCTCCCGACCATCTCGGGGGCCCGTCTTCTGGGGCGCCCCCTTATCTGCCTCTACCTGAGTGGGCGGAGGCCGGCGGACGCCAGACTCTCTCCCTCGCTCTGCTGGGAACTCCCCCGAGAGTAGGCTCGTCCCTCGTTTCTTCCCCTCCAGAGCTGGTTTAAAACACCCCTCAAACTCCTTTCTCGGAGTAGGGAGGTCTGCTCTGAACGCGAGGGAGGGGGTTCTCTATTCTTGCGCAGGGAGGGTGAAGTCGGTTCAGCTTCTCCACCTCGGGGAGGAGAGGGTTAATTTCTCCTCCTCCATAGTTTTCCTCCTTCCTCTCCCCACCTCCCCCCAAATAATAGAAAAGCATCTCCCCACTTTTCCAAACCCTTCCCCCTTCGTCTCGGCTGCAGGGCTTAGGGGAAGAAGTCGCCTTCCCATTTGCAGGGTTGGGTGGAGTGGTTAGTCTCTAGCCTGGAGGAGGGGCTTTGACGGCGGGGGAAACAGTTGAAGAAGGTGCTTGTTGCTCATGTTTCTCTCTCTGGTGCCTCTGGTCTATTATTGGTGTTCGCAAGTGGTGCTCCTTCCACATAAGGCCACCGCGCGGGTGTAGGGCGCATGCTCTGCCCGGCCCCATTGAAACTTCCTGCTGCCGCTGGTGATTCTTGTGCTGGAGCATCTCAGCGTTGTGTTTGCTGCCTCCAGCCCTCACTCAGCACCAACACTCGCCCCCATTTATTCCCGATCCATGCCTCTCCTTTTCTGGCACATTTCTTTTCTCAGAGAAGGCCTATTTGTTGTACTCTGAGCATCGCCTTTATCTGAGAACAGCCCTTGGCTGGAGAAGAAACGTTTCCCAAATAGGTCTTTTTTTTTTTTTTTTTCCAGTCTGTATTAGATGGCCAGAGTGGACTGGGTATTGTACAAGACAGATAGTTGTTTCCTTTCCAAGACAGCAGAGTCGCTCTTCTCTTCTCTGTGGAAATGAAGTTTCTGTTAACAGAATATGTATTTATAGGCTAGGAAAGGCCCAGAGTGTGAAGTTATTCAAATATTACCTGTAGGGAGTATGAATGATGTTGGGCCACCAAAGACTCAGATTAATACAGCAATTATACACAGATCTATATCTCTAATCCTCTCTCCTTAACAAATTACGGCTTATAAAAGGTTGAATTTTAACTATAAAATATGGGAGTGATTAATTACCTCATAGAAGACTTTCTGCAGAACTTTAAAAATTAACCTCCCAATATGGTAATGTAATTATCAAATTGTATTTACATTTTTAAAAATGAAAGCCATTGTGAAGTAAGATTCTTTTTTTTTGATTTTTTTTGAGACAGGGTCTCGCTATGCAGTTCAGGCTGCCTATGAGCTCACTTTGTAGCCCAGGCTGGTCTCGAACTCACGAGGATCCCCTGCCTCAGCCTCCCGAAGGATTCTTTAGTATATTGTTTTTAGGATGCCTTGGGAAATAATACTAATGTATTTGTCAGAAAATTGTAGGAGTTTGGAGAATGAATTGCTAGTAAATTGTTTTTTGGTGTTTACTTGAACTAAACTAAGAGTTTGGGATGGCATTGTATTTTGGGTAGTATGCACCACTGCTTACTTTTCTGTTCCTTTTAAGTATTTTAACCAGTGCATTTAGCTTGTGTCTGTACTAGAAGAAGAAAAAATATTCGGGTCAATTTGATACTTCTGGCATTGAACATTGGGCCACTAGCTGAGTACAAAGGGGAAATAACCAAGGCTAAGAGGAATTCTGCTCAGGCACTAAATTACTGTTGGATATAGTTGCTAAGGGATGTATAATAGCTGCTGTCATAAGATGATCTAAGAATAATTATTAATTAATGTTACATAGTTCTAGACACTTGGCAGATGAAAAGTTTCTGCATGTGGAGTGGCTTTACTGTGCAAGGAAAAGATTTTTTTCAGAATTTGATAATGGTCAGCCTACTTGGAATAGTTGTTAAAACAATGTCATTTACCCAAGAAGACTTGCACTAAGTCTTTTTGGAAAGAATTGTGATGTACTAGAGTTTTTTTAAAGACATGGATTTTTAAATTGGGGGTGGTGGGGCAGGTTTTTTAATGGGGGGGTGGGGCACATGTGTACTCTCAGTATTCTGAAGGCTGAGGCAGGAGGGTTGCAGTGAGTTTGAGGCTAGCCTGGGCTACATAGCGAGTTCAAGGCCAGCCTGAACTATAGGAGGCCCTATCTCAAAGAATCAAAGGTGGGGAGGAAGACATGATTTTAGTATTAAGCAGTTACTATGTAGGTTGTAGGGCAAATCATTTAATTTATATTGACTTTTTTTTTTTTAGTAGAGATAGTAGCTGAGAATCAAATTAAATAATGCTTTAAAAATCCTTTCATAAACTAAGCACTTAAAAATGTTCTTGTATTTCATTATTTAATGAAAACAGATTTCATTAAAGGTGTTTTTCAGATAAATGGCATGAGTGCATTTGAAATTAAAATGTTGAGTTTTTACTACATTGTGAGCACAAATACAATACTGAGTTACACTTGTGGGGAAAAGCTTTGATACAGTCAAATGGGTTTTGCTTTATATAAATTTAATAGTTAGGCAGTTCTAGTGACATTTAAAAATCCTAGTTTATAAAATTTTTTTTTGTAAATTAAGACATCCTTTAGAAGGAACTGTAATTATGACTTATCTTTAAGTACTATGTTACCCTTCTCCTAAAATTTGTTTATAAGTTTGATATTGTAACTTCAGCTTAAAATGCCCCCTCCCCAAATCATGAAAATCAGCGTGTCACAGAAAATAGAACAGCAGTGGTGCACTCTTAATTCCAAGGGTTAAGAAGTTGTGTAGTGTCCAACGGGAATGTTGCATAAGTAATTATAGTTGCTTAAGAATGAAATAAAAGCATGAGGTTTTTCAGTTTAGGTAGATTTTTTTTTCCCCCAGTGGCTGGCAACTACTTAGTAAGTGGGAAGGTTACTATGCATTTCTCGGCGTGGGGCTACTGTGAGAAAAGTACTGAGACTGAGCCTGTTGTGAATCTGGAAAGTTTGGGAATCAGTGTTCTAGAGATTATCATTCAGTTTTGGAGTTAGAAAGAAAGGACTGTTGTGTCATTTTTGTCTTTATTTTGCAGGGAGGAAAACCAAGGGGTGGAGACAGAGTTCAAGTGTATACAGCTAATTATTGGTGTTATTTAGACTGTTACTTGAAAACTCTACCAAAATACTACATTTCAACAAAGAAAGTTTCTATTTACAGTTGATGTTAAAAAGAGCAAAAGTGTACTCTAAATGAAAGTGTTTTCCTCCTCCCTTCCCTGCATTTTACTTTAGTCTTCCCAGTTCTGTTCTCTGTGTGGAGATCCTTGCTTCCTCCCTACTGGAGGTAGATAATGATGGGGATGAATAAAAGTAAAAGTGGACATTGACTGTGAGATTGCTAACACCCAGGGTTCCTAAGTATCTTTCTTTTTCCTGGGAGGATATTCCTTTTCAAGAGGAAAATGTACTGTTTCTCCTTCCCTGTCTCCCTTTCTTTGGGAGTAGTGATTGAGCCTAGGACCTCATGCATGCTAAGCAAATGCTCTACCCCTGAGCTATATCTCCAGCCCTTTCATTTGTTATTATGGCTATTTTTTCCATTGAGACAGGGGCTTGTTACAGTTCCAGGGGCCTAGAACTCAGTATGTAGCCCAGGCTGGGCTCGAACTCTCAGTGATCCTCCTGCCTCAGCATCCCTGGTGCTAGGATCACAGGCATGTACCACAACGCCTGTCCAAGCCCTTTGATTTTTTAAAAATGTTACTGAGTTACCCAGGTTGGCCTCAAACTTGGTGGTCCTCCTGAGTCAGCCTCTTGAGTAGCTGGGATTACAGGCATGTACCACCAAACGTGATTAGAAATAAATACCCTTTGAGACATTTGTTAGAAGAAATATGGCAATATATTTTTGTTACATTGTTTTTGAGATGTCACGGAGTTGAGGTCACCAATGGTTATGGAGGTTTGAAGGAGATTATTAGTGTTGTCCTAGGACTAGAGGTAACAGGGACAGAAGTAGTCTGGCTAAAGTGAGTTTATTGACGTGCATAATGGCTTGAGAAAAACTTGCCTTTAAATTTAGATGGGTTAAAGTTTTGTCCAGACCTCTAGTAAGAAAGATGTACTTCATTCATTTAATATGTGCGCTAAGGCTCTGTTATATGGTTAATGTAGCAAATATTGTGAGGATTGTTTAAGAAAATTAGACATGGGCCCTTTATTAAGTATTTTTATATCTACTAAGAACTAACTAAACTGAACTTGAGCTAATGTTACCATTCAAAGACCACGTAGTTCAGGCTGGCCTTGAATTTGCTGTGTAGCCCAGGGTGGTCTCCAACTCGGGGCAGTCTGCCTGCCTCAGCCTCCTGAGTGCTAGGATTACAGGCATATGCCACCAGCCCTGGCTCTGTTATTTGGTTGATACTGATTTAAAAATACTATATTGGTCAGCTTCCACATCTGGGACAAAACCTGACACACAGAACTTAAAAGAAGAAGGATTTATTTTGGCTCATAGTTTCCGGGGTTTCAGTCTGGTGGGTTTGCTTCAAGACAGAAACATGGCAGAGGAAAACT